ATATATATATATATATATATATATATATATATATTGGAAAAGTCTTAAAATGTCTATAGACGAAGTGCTACAGTATTTCATCCACGCACAGACATGCTTTGTTGGTGACGGTTTTGCCTAAAAACTGCTAGACCTACGGGAGTCGTGGCGGTCCCCCCTTTTTTTTTCTTCAAATTGGGTAGTGCTCGAAATTTCTTCAATCTGCGGCACTCGAGATTTACAACGCTACATCCTAGGCACAATTCCTACGAATTGTAGGGGTACTCTCCCCGCTGACTTTACCTAAAAAAATTCCTAATTTCTTGAAAGAACAAACCAAGCTCCAGAAACCCTAGGAACCTAGAGTAAAGCCAGCAACATGATTTTCTCCCGTTCTCAAGATGGAAATCAAAATCCTAGGAACCTAGAGTAAAGCTCCTAGGAACCTCGAGATGAAAATCAAAATCCTAGGAGCCTAGAGTAAAGCCAGCAACATGATTTTCTCCCGTTCTCGAGATGGAAATCAAAATCTTAGAAATTTCCATGAAAATAAAAAATCTTAGAAATTTCCATATAAATGATTTTCTCCCGTTCTCGAGATGGATATCAAAATCTTAGAAATTTCCATGAAAATAAAAAATCCTAGAAATTTCCATAAAAATGATTTTCTCCCGTTCTCGAGATGGAAATCAAAATCCTAGAAATTTCCATAAAATGAAACTCAAGAGTGGGCTGTTCTCGAGATTTTCGAAATCAAAATCCTAGAAATTTCCATAAAAATGAAACTCAGGAGTGGGCTGTTCTCGAGATGAAAATCAAAATCCTAGACATTTCCATAAAAATGAAACTCAGGAGTGGGCTCGAGATGGAAATCAAAATCCTAGAAATTTCCATAAAAATGAAACTCAAGAGTGGGAAGTTGGAGGGCTTTCTTCCATTCTCGAGATGGAAATCAAAATCCTAGAAATTTCCATAAAAATGAAACTCAAGATTGGGAAGTTAGAGGGCAGGAGAGCATGATGGTTCGTGAAGGGTTAGAGAGAGAGAGAGTGAAGGGATAGAGACAGAGAGAGTGAGTTTTGCATAAAATTGTTGATTTTGGATGAAAGTACTAGTCTTATACTCCTATATTGAACATGACTCTTCAAGAAATCTTTACTTATCAAAACAGTGGGAAAGGGTAAAAGCTAAAAAGTAGAAGAGTTAAGGGTGGTCTTAAGTCTTTCAATTTGATATATAATGACTAGTAGTAATTGTGACCTCTTTATAAATGACTTCGTAGCATGCAATTAAACTGTAATTTGTTGAAATAGGATTACATCATTATTTATTATTTATTTATTATTATTATTATTATTATTATTATTATTATTCTAATCCCGCATATTTTTGTTTGCACTAGTTTCAACTATGGCAATTGCTTCCCTCCCAAATAACCTCTCGAGCCCAAACAATAGAGAGCCCCACACTTCTTATTTTGGAGTAGCATTTTATTTTTCTTTTGAGCATAGGGATCCATGTTGTGTCCTTTCAACTCTTTCTTTTTTGTATTTTGTTCTTTCTTGCTTTTGTGGTCCATGGGGTCCTTGCTGCCACTTAATGCACCAAACCGTATAATGGTTGGACGAGTAAATGAAAGATATCTATCATCTATCCTTCAAAACTACATAAATGTCATTCCAACTACCATGTTCAATATGAGTATTAAGAGTTCGTATGCCTAAGGTTTTAAATTTTTATGAAAAATTAAGGAGCATTATTTCAATTGAATGTTCCATGGGATTTCTCTAATATTTGTCTTGTTTAACGTCTCTTTCTTCTTCTTTTTATTTTTAATTTTTTTAAGAAAGAGAAAGGCTAGAAACCAATGAATTATTACTTATTCAAGTCTTATGTAGTTCAGAATTGCATTCATCAGGTTCTCTTTTAGAATTTTGACTTCACCTTTTGTAAAGCTTGAGCGGTCCCTCATTGAAGCTTGAGGAACCCTTTGTCACCTTTTCTTAACTATTCAAGAAATAAAGAATATATATCTTTCTATTATTTCTTGGAACTTTGTCACCTTTGGATTGTTTGTTTTGAAAAAAGTCTTGT